GTTAATCTGAAGAGAGCAACGGGCAGAAGAACGAGAAAGCACTAGGCTTTTCGTTTTAGATGCGTTCACAAGCATGCCCATCACGCCGCACTCAGCTTCGAACCTTTCTAAGGAGCACTGAAGATGAGTTTCAGAAGATGCTAATAAAACAAGGTGGTCTGCAAACAGCAACCTTCTCGACTTAACATCTCCTACACCGAAATCTCAAATTTTCGAGATTTCCAAAATGCGTCTCAATTCTCTTATTTAGCTCTGGTTTGACGGTGCGCCGCTGGATAGAAAAAATTTGAAATACTTAAACTGATGAACCTCTTAAAGTGCTTCCTGTTCCTCTGGTAGATCAGCTGTGCCTGATATGTTTCTCACTTTTCCGGGCGTTATGGGAGAACGGCTTTCACAGTCGCATGCGAAAGCCGCAAAGTGTAAAGTCTACTGCCTGTATTACTAACCATGGCAATACCGTTTGCGTACGACAGATTATTAAGATATATAGCTGGATATCTTGAACTGCGCCTCTAGAATTAGACCTTCATCTTTGCCAGGTTCAGCACGGTTTCAGAAATGAAGGTCAAGAACAACGTTGTATAACATAGGCGAATTCAGGTCTCCCTGGCGAACTTTAAAGAAAATTGACATAAATGGTTTTCAGAAACGATCATTCAGAGTAAATGACATTAAGTCGAAACCTTTCGGTGTTGGCACTTGTCTCCACCACTGCTGCGTTTTGTTCGCTCTTCTGTTTGTGTTATGCATGAATGGGATAGTCAAGCGCAGCCAGGATGACGAATGTATCAGCTTAGGAGATATAGAGACCTTTCTGAAATTTTTCAGTCTTGGTTAAATTTTCGCTGAAATCTTTAATCATATCTGTTAAGTTTAATTGATCTTATAGCTCTGTGTTTCTTTCAGATTTTTACTTCTGCCTGCACTGCTTGGTTTCTTTACGTTGAAAGTGCGCAATGAAGATAGGCTGGAATTACTTAAGAGAACGGAGGTACTTAATTCAGCATCTCTGATGGACTTCAAAATTTAACTCATTCGAGGTTTAGATATACTTCAATGATTTTTTGCGAAGACTCTCTCAACTGGGATTCGCCGAGACGGAGGATGGTCGACGAAGCACCGACGATGGAAGCGAAGAATGCGATGAAGGACCAGCGATGTCTGCAGTGACGAGGCGAGAATTAAAGATCCGAAGGTATGTGTTTTTGATAAATCGCAGAATACACAGTCGGCAAAACCGAAGGTTTAAAGAGCGGATTCAGTTGCGTGACAAGATTGCTCAATTGCACACCGGCTCGTTGGAGGATTCGACTAAGGCAGATGAAGAAACGAGGGTAATGCGTAATTTTTTACGTTGCTTCGATTGAGTTAAATGTTGCTTATTTACAGCGCGAAGTTTATCTGGCTGAATTGAAGTATTGGCAGCTGCAGACCGTAGAC